ATAATATAATTTTTAATGCTCCTCAAATATTGTTGCAAAAAATTGTACTTTTTGTTCAATATATATTCAAAATTGCAGCAATATCTTGTAATCAATGTAGAAAAATCAACATATATTCTATGTAGAAAAAACGTCCGCACTTCTATTTTTAACATTGCAACGTCTCATCTACGTTTTTTCAACGTTCTGTGCTGTATGGGCGGACGTCGATTGAATTGTGCAGATGTTGAAAAAATTGAGGCTCCTGTCTAAGATCTTCTCATACGTTCCTCGCATGTGCAATTAGAGCTGCTCTAGTTCTCTCATGAGGATTCCACGAATTCACAATTTTTGCCCATACGTTTTCTATTAAATTGAGAACCGAGGATTTCGCTGGCCAATTTAAAACTTTAAGCTCTGGGGGTGTAGTGCAAACCACTTTTGAACGGTACAAGAAGTATGGACAGCACTGTTCTCTCGGAACATGGAATGCGACGTGCGATCTCTTCGTTTATTGCACCACACTCCCACATCTCAATAATGCGTCCACTTTGGTAAATATATCTTCCATGATCGCATATAATGGCACGCAAGGACACGACTGTTAGAAGAAACAGCAATGAAAGAAACAAATACATCTCGGCAAATGTTTTTCCTATATCTCCTTGCTCTTCTTTTTTTTTTTGAACGAGCGCGAAACAATGTAGAGACGCGCAAATGTAAAGACGCGAAACAAGTACGTCGGCGTAGCGAGATAAAAGGTGCGTTGCCGATGCGCTTCTGCATTCGCAAAATCTATCCAGAAGACGATATGCCGACAATTCGACTGTTTCAAGATAACAGTGCTTAAAGTTTTTAATTGGCCAGCGAAATCCCCGATTCTCAATTTAATAGAAAACGTATGGGCAAAAATTGTGAATTCGTGGAATCCTGCTCATAAGAGAACTAGAGCAGCTTTGATTGCACACGCGAGGAACACATGGGAAAATCTTAGACAGGAGTCTCAATTTTTTCAACATCTGCACAATTCGACCAACGCCCGTCTACAACAAGTTGCTGCACGCCAAGGCCACTGGACGGATTATTAAAATAGTTCTTTTCAGAACCAAGTATCAAACGGCTCCTTTCAGAGCCACTCAAATATTTGTTAACAAAGGAACACTTCCGTGTGTGTGCATAATTATTTCAGTAAAATAATTATGCATACACGTAATAAAATAATTTAATATGTTTGCTATCAACGTCACATATATGCACCACACTGATATCTCACTTAGATCCAATATCGCATATGTGTGACAGTAAAAATTTTTTTTCTGTATCTATACTATCATATAAAGTCTATTTAATATTATTAAGTAAAAAAAAACACGAATTAGTCTGTGGCAATAGTCCTCTAAATCTGTAGCAGTCTTTATACTCTCCCGCTTTCTCACACACATGTCTTTATCAACGCAACATTTATTCTTTCGCTGCTCGTGTTACCATTCCATCAATCACTGCAACACGTGCGTATGGCTGGCACCTTTCTAATCTAAATTCCATGTTTTTGTATATAGTGTCCAAAAATTACATTCCTTTTATGCAACTTCTTTTGTTAGTAACTTTTTAACGAACAACGAACGATCGCTAAAATCTTCTGAAGGTTACTCAGGGTCATCACCTTTACAACATATATCAAGATCAAGGTCATCCGAGGCAGTGCTGGGAGTTCGGGATATTTTCTAGCTGACCGGAGCCCTTCTGCGCAAGCGTGAGATGACGTAGCAGCTCGATGTAAGCAGTTTACAACGACGGCGTTAGACACGAGTAAAGGGTTTTTAGGGGACATGCATAAAATACTCGGCCGTCTGTGTTGTTTGCCCGCGAGTGGTTAGGATTAGGTTAGATGTAGTGAAATGTTACAATAATAAATTAGCATAATTAATATAGTTATAATAATTAGTGTAGCTGTGTGTGTGAAAAAATGTGATAATATAATATGTATATATATTATATATTTATAATAAATAAAATGTAATATAAAAGTGCAAATTTAATATAAAGTGATACTGTGATAAAAAAAAGTGCAATTATAATATTAAGTTAATTAAAGAAAAAAGTGCCGTATTGAAGAAAGAAATGGATCATCAATAGCCTTCGTCATCAAGTGGCATTGAGAAAAAGAAGAGGAAATGTGTGAAAAAAAAATTTCAATATGCATGGTTAAATATGAATACTTTCAAAGATTGGTTGGCTGCAGAAATTATAAAATAAAAAATATATTTATTTTTACTCATGAATAGCATTCTGTTTCTTCCCACAAACTTTCTTTTCTCCCTACAATCCCATCATATTTTCTTTTAGGTGAGGGATCTTACGATACCTTAAAATAGATACGGCGCTGAGGTTACCACAGCGTTTACTCAATGCGCGTGCGCGAAAATATATCCCGAACTCCCAGCACTGATCCGAGGGGGATACACTAATGTAAAGGTTTACCGATAGAATTTTTCAGCAAAAGTTCAGCACATTTCATTATGTTTTCAGCAAATTTCATTATATTTTCAGCAAAATTTTTCCA